GCACAGTTAAAAAACACTTGATTAAAGCTCAAAATAGGTTGCTTTAATAGAAATCTATACGCTATGATGACGCTACATGCTAAGAAAAAAAAGTGAAGAATTTATTCTCTAATTCGCTCTTCTGTAGTTACATTTCTTTAAATACGGTATACATTCATTTCTGGTAATTTACAGCTAAATTATATATTGAAAAGGAAATGACTTTAGCTTCTCAATTCTCAAGTTCCTTTATTTAAGTTAGAAATACCACTATCATCTGCATATAATGTTTATGTCTGCAAACTCGTTTTTGTATCGGGCTTAAGCTTGATGATTCTTTCGTCCATTGTAATAAAACTTGAATACAAAGAAAACACATCTATTTGTTTTTTGTTTTATTTTTTTTTTGTTTTGTTTTTTTTTTTTTTTTGTTTTTGTTTTTGTTTTTGTTTTTGTTTTTTTTTTTTTTTTTTTGTAAATTTTCTGTAGACCATAATTTATCTTTTCCCCAATCACCTATTTATGGCAATATTGTCTCGTTATGTCTGAATTCATTATCTGATAATCTAGGAAAGAGTCGGTTTATCTGTAAGATGAGAAATGGGTTTATCTCAACAATATTTGCTAAAATGAATATTTTAAGAGCAAAATGATTCTCTCATCTTGTACAAATTCCTGTATCTCTTTTATTAATACAAGGAACCTATCACAGTAATTAATATTTATTCACAAATACGTAAGAACTATCAATATTTTCGAGACATTTTCGGGGAGCCGTGGGGTAAGTGGTAAATCCTCTAAATCTTGAATGCTTCAGTATTTCTGGTAAATATAAAAAGTAATTTCTCTGAAATTCTCGCTTTTTCATTCTTTATTGGAAAATTATGAAAAAACTTTCCAAATTTTTCTCTTTTTTTTTTTTATTGCGGTATTTGATATTTCTTTTTATAAAAACGATGTCCTATTAAAGCGCTTTTTAAGCAGCGAAGGTTTTATAAATTGTTAAATAGATATAAACTTTTGCTGTCATGAATGTCACAAATAGGTGAGTAATCCATACAAAAGACAAAGATACAAGGAGTAACAATGACAGATATAGCAATATCGTTTTATTGTTATAAATGTTCTCTTTTCATCTAGAATTGGAATAAATAATTCAAATGCTACTGACAATTCTTTTTCTTTTCATTTTTCACAAAACCTAAGTCTATAAATGCTTGCTTCAGTGTAATGGTTGGATTAATCTAGACCATTTGTTGGTTAATTATGGATGAGGAAGGGAGAGTTACACAGGGTAGCAATGAAAAACAAGTATCCCTTTCAAATTATTCATGTCCCCTTTTCATTTCAAGCTAAATAATTCAAATTATCATGACATAGTCTTTTGTATGACCACAATTGCTCAGTTTATCAATGTATCCAGAATTTTTTTTTTCAACAATTTAATCATTCGATACGCTGTAGTTGGCAATCACCAAATACATTTATTGAGTCATCAAATTTCGGTCTCTGCAATTTGTTCCAAAAATGCTACATCTTATAACCGCTCTCTCCTTGTACTGTATAAGTTAGGACAGTTGTAACAATTCATGATGAACTTGTGTTCAAACCAACTGTATATTATTTATACAATGAAATATGTTCAAACTAAACTAAACCTTGTGTAAGTACTAAGTAATAAATAAGTTTTGTGATTATTCCTGGTTAGTTCATCTGACACGAACATGGTAAACCATGAGGTAAAGCAGAACTGTTGGAATAAATAATACTACAGTGCAGGGAACTAATTTTGTTACATAAACCAGCATCAGCATAAGCATTAGTAGCATCAGGATCGAGCTAGCACCAGGATCAGCATTTAAAAAACAGCATTACCAGGATCAGCATCAGCAAGCATAGGATAAAACCAGCATTGACCTACATAAAACCAGCATTATCCTACTAGCATCAGAAAATCAATGAGCTTTAATTCAGTAAAAAATTAAAAAAGAAAGAAAGAATATTGGTTAAAGTATTCACATTATTGATACATAGTGAGATATTATGATCAAATAATTGTAAAAGGCACTTTTATTGCTTTAAACGGCAATGCTGAAATTCATTATCTACTTCCGGTAGCATGATGCTGCTTCCGGTAGCATTGACCTAATTATAAAACAGCATCAGGATAAGGATTACTAGCATTAAATCAGCAAGCAAAGGAAGCATTCATATCAGCATCGATGCTGTAACAAAATTAGTTTCCTGCACTGTAATAACGATGATCTATAAAAGAAATTCTAACATCAAAGACAAGGTAAAGCAGTTTAACAGACACTCCATAACCCCGATATAGTATGTAATTTATACTTTTAGGTGTAGTAGAAAATACGAAATTAATAACACTTTCATTTGGAATGGAAAAGGGGGAGTGATGTGGATGGCTGTTAAATTGCAGAAATATCAAATGTTTCGAAAACATTATAAAGAAGGTTTCATTTTTTTTTAAAAGTTTGGATATTTTTTTAAAGAATGATGCTGTTTCTTAAGAACTTTATTGTAACTCTTTTACGCAATGCGAAAAAATGGTTGAGGACAAATTATTTAAAAAATCGTGCATTAAAAAATCATGAGTTTTATACACGCACAGTTCTTAACGAAGTACGTGTAAGGATGAATCAAGTTTCATTACTTGTCTTTTGAAATCGTATTGTCAGAAATTATCTATTCCTCAATTTTTATATTCGTTCCAGCTATCAAAGATGCGATGAAGTTAAAGTTCTGTTTTCTTGGGGGGGGGGGGGGGGGGGGGACATTAGGCAGGTTCAAGTCAACAGTTTCAGAGAATCTACATATCTCATTTACATACCGTAAAATCATAACGTTGTGATGACGTTATAGAGTCCAAAAGTTGTAACTTTTAAAGAAGACATTGTAGGTATGTTTGTAAATAGCATAAATCAAATTTAGAGACTGTACCTATTTGTTATACGTAACGTACGTTCTTTGTACTGCTTCAATGGACTATTGAGCTAACTGTTCGTTACTTTATGTTTCATGAGGGTAAAGAAAGAGAAGATTTGGGTTGACAATAGCTAACTATATGGCATATATTTGAAAATGCACTTATTGAATTAAACAGCAAATAAGGATAGATAAAGAACGAAATCTTTCCTAACATATACTCGTCGATCTAGACAAATGTACATACGTATAGAAAATGAAGTCTAATTTATTTATCTGTTGATAACAACTATTTCTCTTCAAATATAATTTTGTTTATAATTTCAAAATATACCTCCTTCTTCTTAACTTTTTCGATTTGTTTACTTTTCTTATGTGTGAATTTCAAATTTTAAATTTTTTTTCAATTGTACAGGTCTTCCAACGATATACACAAGCTAAAAAAAGATGTACAATGTAGTAAAGGCAACTTTTTATCCCCCCACGCCGCCACGGTAGCTCAGTTGGTAGAGCGCTCGCTCTGTGACTTGGAGGTCGTGTCGCGGCCGAGACTGTCCTAAGTCGATAAAAAAAAATATGGTAGCAGCTGTTCCTACGCCAAACGCTCAGCACTTCGAAGTGAAAGTTGCAGGTCCTTCGGATGAGATGGGGTTTTTTCAGTGTTTAGTAGTTGCAGGAACATCACATTGACCATTCAGCGGATACATTACAGTTAATTTTCAGAATATTTCCATGCCTCTTCAGCTGCTTTTCAGTGACCGTTCAGTAACATTCAATGAACTTTCATAGATACAAAAATACCTTTTATTTGCTATTTGAAAAAAATAATAATATAATGACTTTTCGTGATACTTATTCTTGAGGGGATATTATTTACTTTGAACTTTGATCTCTAATAGCTTGTTATTTTATGTAATAAGTCTGTTTCTTGAAACTGAGTATTGTGAATTTTAGCCTGAAGACTATGTTTTAATTACTCCAAGTCATGATAAAATAATTTAATTAAAGATCAAATCATTTTTCAGACGATCTGATTTGTTGGAATAAAATTAAAATTAGAAATTGAAATATGTTTTCTTTGAAATAGCATAGACTAATTTATTATTCATTTGAGAGAGAAATATTTAAATTTCAATAAAATCTATATTTAAAAAAGCCGAGAAATAAATTTTAACAAATTTAAAAAATAAGCAATAAAAACATGAAAATATATATTAACATCAGAGTCTTTCAGCCTTGACAAATGGACCACTGTTAAAAAAATGATTAAAGCTCATATGATGTTACTTTTATATAAATCTATACGACAGCGATAACGCTACTGCTGAGAAAAAAAAATATTCTCTCACTCGCACTTCAGTAGATACCTTTCTTTAAATACTGCAAAAATTGGCTTTTCGTTCTGATGGTAACTTACAGATGAATTATATGTAAAATTGGGATGACTTTATTTTTTTCTATTCTTAACTTCCCTTATTTAAGTAACAATATTCCATTATTACCTGTATAGGCTATTAAAGGGTTTTTTTCTTAAATGAAATCAAAGGTTAAGTGAATGTTTCTTCTTATGCTTTAAATGATCCAGATTCCACTGCTATCTAAATGTCTATATCAGATTTCATAATTCCTGCTTATGATCTACTATCATATCCATCCAAAAAAGAATCGATATTTCAGTGATTAGTAAAATACAGAATACGTCACGAGAAGCCAATCACTTTTCCGTAATAGATCAAGGCTCTTGTATTTATACTTTGTGGCTGAAGCATCAATTTGTAATTCTTACAGGAACGAAGTAGTTTATTGTGAACACAGAGGACAGTATGAGTTATCTGTGTGTTATTTGTTTAATTGTCGTCTTTTTTACGGTGTTTCAAACTACCAATGCTTCGTTAGAATATACCGCAAACCTGGAATTTGACAATAAAATATCGAACAGTGAACTTTTAGGAGAATACAACTCTCGGTCGTTGATCGAGTGTGGCGTGAATTGTCAAAGCGCGTGTACATGTAGATTATTTGGTTATAATCGGGGTTTGAAGAAATGCCGTGTACACCTAAGAAATTTCACTTCCGGAATGTCGGACGAGACCGGATGGAGATACTATTCCCATCACTGTATGTATAGCTTTCTTTCACAAAACATGAAATATAATAACTAGTTAAACGTTTCAGCTCTTATAATTGCATTCGAAGCAGGTCCAAGAGATTCATTTATGTGTTATTCTGAAATATTATTTAAAGGGGTAACTTCAAATTTACTATCTTGTTTCAGCATCTAATTAGCTTTCTCAATTACGCTTAATTTAATTACATTTATCATATATTATATTCTGTGATTCTAATATTGTTTCTATATTTTAGTTAGGTACAAAAATTAACTTGTTGCTACAAAGAATTTATAATGCTAAAAATTAACAAGAGTACTAAATGTATTAGAGGGGTGACTGTCATAAAAGCTTTCATCTATAACATAATATAGAATGCGTGTGTACCTGTGTACACCTGTGTATCAACTTCTTAGTGCCGGCATACACCTGTGTATCTACTTCTTAGTGCCAATTAACACACCTAATTTTACTTTCTAGTTTGTGAATAAACGTGTGTTTGTTTAAATTTGTATCTTGTGATATGTAATCACCCAAAGAAGAATTTCAGCGTTCTGTTTTCTGTTTCAGTTTTACCTATAGATTGTAAGGACCTCCGTGATAACGGTCACATTAATACAGGGGTGTACAAAATCTATCCTTTTTGTACAAGCTCGACTCCAGTCAGAGTTTACTGTGATATGGACACAATGGGCGGTGGATGGACGGTTTGTAGTTTATTTCTAACCTGTTTATATTCTGTTCATAGGAATCATTGATTTTGTGGTCCATATGATTGGTGTGATACTGTAAACGTATTTTTTTTTTTTTGCTGTGTATTATTTTTAGCGCTTTTGATGGAAAGAAACTTCTGCTAATTCAAGTACAACGCTAAATGTCTAGAATATAAATATATAAATAAGAACATTAAGAAAAGCGTTAAATCAAATCTACGCTACGTTTAGTTAGAATAATCTAACTGCGTCTCGGAACAGGCCCTCACCACAGTTAGAATGCCTCCCATATATCCGTATGTAGCAGAAAATTGCAGAATAGCTCCGAAACGATTTTGGAGAAAATTAATGAAGTTGCAAAGAAAATAACAGTCAAATTAATCATAACAAACCTTTTTGAGACTGTAAATACCTTTCATCTAAAAATTTAATCCATATATTGGAAGAATTCAACACTTTTTCACCAACGTTTTTTACTCGTTTTAAATTTACACACCATGTTGACATTCGGAACTCTCGGGATTTTTCATAGGAAATGCACTTAGTTAGACTTATCTCCCGTAATTTTCTTTGCTACATTGACAATACACGGAACGCATTCTATCGTTAACCGGGTCCGTAGGACATTTATCGTTTTAACGATAGAACATTCTATCTACGCTACGTATACCTGGTTCAAAAATCAATTTCCACCAAATAGCGTACACGCTAAATATAATACATTTACAGTACCTTATAAATTGCATATAGATCAAGCAAATGTTCTAAACAATCATTTAATAATTATTTATACGTGTTTATCTTTTCAAGGCAATTCAAAAACGAATAGACGGATCTGTGAGTTTTGACCGGATGTGGACAGATTATAAGAATGGTTTTGGTGCACCGGAACAGAATGTTTGGATCGGTGATTAAAAACCTTTGATCTGCAACAGATTTTGACAAATGACCACTGTACTGAAATTTTGAGGAAAATTTTTGACCCGATTTTAACGATTTTCTTATATAGCTTGTTATTGAACTCTAAAATTAATAGATATAAGTAAAGAGGAAAACTATTCATGAAAACACCCACAAATCAAATATTGCAGGTACTGATGGAAAAATTACACATTATATAGGTCCAGATTACTTTAGGCTTTAGAATATTTTTGAATCTTCTTTTGGATATATTTATTTACAATATGAAAAAAATAATTGTATTGCAGTATACTTATCAATTAATTTCATATATACCTTAATACAGGGAATGACGTAATCCATCAGTTAACAAAGGGAAAGAACCCGTACCTCATTGTTTCCATCATCCTAGTGAATGGTACAACACTGTATGAGATGTACGATCAATTCTATGTTTCTGATGAAGCAGGGAAGTATCAACTATTTCTGGCTGGACCTGCTACGGGAACCTTAGGTGGGTGAAAAGTGTAATTAACAAACAGAGAGAGAGGGGAGGAGAGAAGAAATAGAGAGTGAAAGAGATGAAAACTATTACAAACACTGATCTATATAAATGTGCATGTGAAAGGAGGTTAAAATAAGACTGATGATAAAAATGTCAGAAGTGAATTATGTTATATCAATATCTGAAATATGAAAACTAGATTATTACATTGCGGCGCGTATTTGTGTTAAGTAAAATTTTGCGTACTCTGGCCTTGTTTATGTATTTTACTAAAGCTTACGGGTTCGAATCCCACTGTGGGACGTGGAGACCGGTCCTTCGGATGAGACCGTATAAACCGAGGTCCCGTGTCGCAGTAGGTGCTGGCACGAAAAAGATCCCTCACTGCTCAATGGCCGTAATAGGACAAAATTTGCAGCTCTCCACCGGCAAGTGGTGGCGTCTCGATATGAGTGAAAAATTAATGCGAGGGACATTAAACAACAAACAAACAAACTAAAGCTTACCTGGGTATAGCGCCCGTGCACCAAATAGACCTTTAGATATTGTACTCAAACCAGGGGGTCGTAACATAAAGGGTACTTAAGTCTAAGACCATGCTTAAGTAGGACTTAAGTACAGTCTTAAACTTAAGACCGTAACTAGAAACGTGCTAAGATTTGACAATCTTAGCAAAACTTAGGCGGCCGGTAGAGGTGACTTATGTATGTCTTAACTTTCTTAAACATATATTTAGAACTATTTAACGTTGACTCTCTATGTTAAAACATTCCTCTATTCCTATTATGCATTAAAAGATAATTTTCTATATTCAATATACTGGTATAAGAATTATAGTTTTTCGTCGGGGGGGGGGGGGGGTATTCATCACTGATTACAATATCACTCTCTAAATGACATATATATCTAAATGCAAAATATTATTTTTGGGATACGTTTGAAATATTAGTGGGACCTAGGTTATAAACACTAATCTTTATAAGTATATTGTATAATTTTAATTATAAAAGTATAAAAGTAATTTGTATACAGCAATCATGGATTTGTTTGTTCACTGTGAAAAAATGAGATGAAATGATTTTAAAAATTGTCGGTGAATTAAAGGATGATGACTAGAAAACAAATAAAGATTTTCTGTAAATTAGATTGAATGTAGAACGCAACAAGCGAGGATTCAGACAGGGTTCACTAACGTTCCAGAGAGAGAGAGAGAGATTGTTGATAAGTTGGAGATATACGAAAAATTATTTTCTGAAAACATTTTCTTTAATTTCCATTTTTTCATTAAATTGTAAATAAGTATATCATAAAACATCTGCAGTTTCTGCTTACTGATATGGGAGGAAAAAAAATTCAAAATGTCCCTATTGTTTTGCACTTTTTTTTTATTAGAGTTTCAATTTCAAGTACATACACGTTCGGATATCGTGCCATGTCTGCGAGAATGACAATTTGAAAACAAGTGAACATTTGTCAAACAAACGGTAAACTGAAAACATCGCAGTCTCGAGTGATAAACAATATTCACGCATTTACAATGAACCACTAGGTCCACTTTGTGACCGTGCAATATTTGTTTTCAAATACATTGTATTTCGAATAATTTAAACAGAATTAACTTTAATTAAATACGAAATTAATCTAACCTAACTAAATCCGATAGGTAAGGACGTCAGCATTAATATATATGTGATTAAAAACGAAACTAAATCATTTTTACAAATATATATATATAAATGAATTGAAAAACTAGGATGATTCATAATAAAATATTTTGAACATAAGTTTGACTTAGCTAAGACCTACCTAAGTCCGTTTTATGTTACGGTTTAAGACATACTTAAGTAGTACTCAGGCAGGTCTTAAGATTGCACCTAAAACATACTTATGACCCTACTTAAGTCAAAAACTTAGCAAGCTTTATGTTACGACCCCCAGATCCCTAGACTTCAGCTTAATTAAATCTTTATTTCTTAAAAAAAAATTGCATAAAATAGGTTAAGCTGTTTAATTGCCTTTCCTCTATGATAAGAAATATAAATTTTTATTGTGTTGCATTGTATACATTATTTATGTTAAATATTATATGTAATAACCTTTTTTTTATCCTGCATTACGTGTTTATTCCCACTCAGTGTAATTTTCTTTATGAAATCCACAGTAAATCTACAAAATTCAGTACACTATAATATACGTGAGACCTTTTCACTGCGCGGTAGAATACACAGTAGGAACGATATGCATTTTCGATACTCTAGGAACACAGGGTTAGGGTTAAATGTATTTTTTCACGGTCAGATGCTGTTATAGGACCGACGGCATCCAAAACTAATAATTCAATGGTTAATTAAACGACTTTGTTCCTTTTTTTTCCTCTTACCATAGCCGGTTTCATTAAGTTTAATATCCCGTTCCCATTATGTAACACATCCACTATACACGGAGTTTATTGCCTTCAATCTCAGTGGTTACAATTAGTGTGTCATATTTTTAATTTTTATTTCCTTTACTTCTACAGGTGACAGTATGTTAAACACCGGAAATTCTTTCGCTGATCTGTCTGGAATGTCATTCAGCACTCTAGACAGGGATAACGACACATGTGCATGTAACTGTGCTGATCACTACGGAGGCGGCTGGTGGTTTAACAACTGTCATGAAGCCTTCCTTAACGGTCAATGGTCCCTGACAGTCTGGGAGTATCCTTGGTATCCTACAGTAAAGAGTGGGACAAATGTGAAGAAGACGATAATGATGATCAAACGTCACTAGGTAAACATCAGTCATTAATTATTTATACGTACAGTATTTATACATATATTTCTGATATGCACATTATTTATGCATATATTATTTACATTTTATTGATTTTCTGAAATATTTAAACTGATATGATTTTATGTCGTTTATTCTAGATGCTTGGAATTTTATACAATTTTTGAAGTATGACATATATATCTGTTTACAATCTTTATATTTCTTAAATATATAATTCTTTATTTGTTTATTTGTTCATACTCAACAGATTTGGATTATAAGAAGAAGCCACAATTTTGGGGCCCGTGGACGCTGACGTCACTGTTCTGCTAACAGAGACACTTTTCCCTTTGTGTTAATCATTGCATTCCTTTAAATTTGATTTTGACAGGCACGTAGTATCCATTTTCGAAGTGGGATGTGGTTTTGGACAGAACTTGACTGAAAAGCAAAATTAAAAAAATAAATGTCTAGAAAAATTTGACAATCAAGAGTAATAAATGAAAAGTGTCCAAACTCAAACAAAAATTATAGTCTAGAGGGGATATGAGTTGTGATCCCTTTTTCAGCAGAACTATAGTTTGGGATACATTAAATGGGAAGGATGGGCCAAATTGCAAGAAAATATAGGTTGGGACGGTTTGAATATATACAAAAATGGAGGACATCTGGCTTTAAATAGACATTTTCATTCTAAATAAAGAGTAAAACGTTATGTTTGAAAAAAAAGTGGGATAATGCGCTTTCTCCCCGATACTACTTGCCTGTAATTGTAGATAATTTTTTAATGTTCTAAATTACATGAACTCTGCTTCTGCTCTTAGTCTTGTAAATAAACTGTAAACTAGAAATATTTTGTTGTAATTTTTCACATTCATTTGATGCGAGTATCAATTCAACGGATGAGAGTAATAGTTGATTTGGTGCGAGTATAAATTACTTTATTGTGCGCATTTATAAAAATTAATTACACCTTCAAATAATTAAAGATACCTTCAATAATTGCGGATAAAGTTCAGTTGGCACTCCACACAGAAATAATACGGAAATATATATCGAAAAAAACTTGGCTTACTCCTCGCCCACATACTCCGATATTACCCATCTAAATGTCAACATTATAACTTGTGCGGATCTAGAGGGGGTTGGAGGCCAGGGGGCCCGGATCCCCTGGGATTTTCAGTGTTAAAAATGGTTATGTAAAATTACCCGAAAAAAATCCCCTTGGATCCCACTACGTTCACGGACCCCTCTTAAAATGGCAAGAAGAGTCAAGTAATTGACGAAAATTGACTTAAACTGCCCCCTTTCCCTCAAACAAATAGATTTTTTAGCTTTGGGAAAATTGATTAGACGTTTCTTTGGTCTATAGAATAAATTCCGAGTCTTACATCCGTTAGATTTTAGGTGGACCCCATCCCACACCCTAGAAAAAAATCCTGTATGAATAATGTTCTTCTAATTTGAAATGATATAAAACACTAAAGGGTGTCAGCACTTAACGCCGGGTTTTGGGGTGCTTTCTCAGTAGCTTCTGTTACTTTCATTTCTTACCTAATTTTACTTCAATTTATTTAGTTATCAAAGAATTTAAACCGGTCTTGGTAGCCTAGTGGTAGGGCGTTCGCTTTATGATCGGGAGGCGGGGGTTCCATTCTCGCTTCGCGCCCCAACTCAAAACTAAGACTTTATCATTGGTAGTGACTGTTCCTTCACCAAGCGCCCGGTCCTAAAAGTAAAAGTCACGAGTCTTCGGATGAAATCTTTTAAAATAACCGAGGTCCCGTGTAACGATAGGCTTTGGCACAATAAAAACCCTCACTGCTCAATTGTCCTTAGTGCCGAGTATAGGTCTAAATTTGAAGATCATCAGCGCTTTATTGTGACGTTTCTATGTGAGTGAGAAATTCTCGATGGGAAATAAAAACAACATTCAATCAACAATCTATGAAGTTGGTCAATTTGGAACCGAATTTGAATGTCAAAATGATTTGAGACTTCACACACTAAAATAATTAAGTATTTACTCGACCTTCCTGCTTTGCAAATTCTAAAAATTTTCAATTATTTGCCCCTGATTGAAGATTAAGTAATGGATATATGCCGAATTGCTCTATATGTAAAACTATCAGACTGTTTGAGGCCCGTTAGGGTCGAAAACAGTCTGATAATTTTACATATAGAATTGTATGAGGCATATATCTTACTTAAAACATTGCTATTTAAATGTGTCAAAAGTTACCTGGAGGAGTCCGATAATTACACAAAAGGAGTTTAGGCATCAATAGTTTTCTACCTGAAACCATATAATATGTAGACAAAAGAAAATGACAGTCGTTTAGCGTAGTAGGAACTATCGACAGTGTTTAGGTGATGGAGGATTTTTTTTATGATTCGGAACATTTTTTTTTTTTTTATTAAGTGCGTTTGACATTGATACAGACGCAGTGTTGGATGATATCATCATCATGCATGAAAAGTTAACATATGGGGGTTTTATTTAAAACTTTTAGTTGGGTGATATAATGAAAATTTTCGGGATTAAAAGTGCGGCCATCGGCGATAAATCTCGTTAATTGACGAGATTCAAAGATTCTTTATCAGAAGTGGATTAAAATTCGCTTATTTACAGTACTGTTTCGAAAACGCTCAGCAAAAACCCAATGGAAAGTGTTACTTTTAAGGAGGGTTAAAACTCAATTTTCTTCATGGATTTGCTTGGTATTTTGTAGCAACTTAATTTCATGGCGTTTGCTTTCCCTGAATTTGTTTTCCCCCCACTTTATTTTCTGGACATAATAAACCTTGATTTCACTCTACATGTTGTTTTTTAAATACTGTCAAATTTTGTTATCACTGCCGTCCGATAATATGTTATTGGACTGGTAATTATTATCGGACGGCTACAGGTAATGTTTTTAGATTGCAAGAACAAAAGCATGACGTCACAGCAATGTTTTATGTTGACAAATATGCATGAGAGGTGGAAATGATATGCTAAGAATGGTTCTAAAATTAGACTTGAGCCTAACAATGTCATCCTTCTACAGAAAAATACATGATCTAGCTCTGTTCAAATCTATCCATATTGACCACAATTTCCAAAGGTTTTAAAACAAAATTAACAGTACGATCACTCACACATTGCTATATAGGTATAGATAATTGTAAATCAATGTCTGATATTTTATGCGTTCGAACAATATTCTCCAGAAGCTAAGTTGGTGAAGTTTAAGTTCAATTTCAAGTTCATTTATTCACTCAAAACCATTTAAACATATGGTACATGAGGACAATGTAGACTTTTTACAGTAGACTTATAATTTAGGTCAGAGGTAAAAGTACATGAAGTACTTGTGTAGAAAAAAAAGTAAAGGAAAAGAAAATAAGAATTCAAATAATATGAATAATATATACGTGTAATAATACCACTTATTGGGGGAAAATCATGTAGGACACGAAAAATAAGATATTTTCAATATATGTATATACAAAGATTTTTCAACGTCCTAACATCCTGTTTTGCCATCAGATGAAAAATTTTAAGTATATTTGATCTAACCTACTAGTAGTAGTGTTCTTTAATATGTTTCATATTTGGATATATTTTACTAGAAAAAGACGGTAATAGTAATCTAAAAACAAAGCTTCATGATAAACTTGACAATTTTCACTTTTCAATCCTCAACTTCTCTTCCCTGTGCTGCAATATGCCCTTTACATCTACATGCAGGATATATGTCTCCCAATTGATTCGATACGCCAGAGCATGTTCTACGTATGAACAATTTCTAAAACGAGGTAAGTTATTGACAAACGAGTTGATGAAACAAAAGTCTCGTTTAAACAGGTTGGAGAGAATACTCGAAATCGGGTATTATCCGTGAGATCGCGTATAGTCCCTGAAATCGGGGTATCGTTGTATCCGCGAAATCGGGTATAGGCGGTGTAATTACTTTATAAAACTTAAACAATGGGATGGCGCATTTTACCGAGTCAATATTCACCTAGAGATGAATGTTATCTTAAGGTATCACTAGCCAAGTAACGACCTGGAAGTCTTATTTAATGCGCATATGACAACAAATACCCGTGGAGCTTCGTACTTTTCATGATCTGCATCCAAACAGGCGTTCGTTCTGCTTTATATTTTTCATAATGTTAAAAGTATATGCAACTTCTTCAAAGTCATACCCAACACAACAAAACTGTAAAATATCCAAAGTCGGGAATTTATCATATTTCCACATCAATACGACAAACATGAACATTTTGTAAATAACTCAAATTATACGGAAACACATTTCACACACACTAAATAATGTCACGTGTGAACAGGGGACTGTCTATCGTATCCAATTATGCGTCATTAATTGCTTTCACATTCATCTTGTGCATAAAATCAAATCTATTATTAAATGTATAAACTATTTTATGGTAAAGATATTTCAAATTACGGCTTAAAATCCATGATACTCTTTTTTTTTTTGGGGGGGGGGGGTCACGAATCTATTTTCATGAGTTGATTTTTTTATCATTTACATATATACATATTTACAGAATAGCATTCCTTCCATATATATATCTTGTACATGTACATGTACCAGTACATATGCTTTACAAAAAGAGAATGACAAATAAAGGTAATTAAAAAAAAATATTAAAATTTCCTTAGGATTCAACATGCCTCCAACGTTTTAGCAACGACAATGATGTGACAGCTTGTGAGAGAAAATAACTATTGATCGTTTAATTTTGCTGAGTCGGCAATATTTTACCATTTTTCGGCGATTTCGGGGGGTTGTTATTACTGATTACTAGGGAAAAACTCATTTTTCAATTATTTCTTGTCCGATCGCAACTACTCGGCCCATCTCAGACAAGCAAAAAATGACTTCGAATGTGTTATGCATGTGTCCAAGGGACACCCCCTTTCAAAATAATTTAAAAATATATATAGAATTTCATTGCAGAGTTTGGTGCTAAACGTCATTGAATGTTATATATTCATTACA